TTTTTTTTTTTTTTTTGGCTTAGAAAACGTGGTTGTCTCAAGCATCGTAACTTTAAATACTGCTCAGGAGGTGCTGGGGGGCCCTGCAGGAGAGGACGACTGCTAACTTGGTTCTCTGACGGGGGAGATGGGGTTTCATTTACCATCTCAGAGGGGATCAGAATGACGCACAAGCCACGAAGACGGGAAGACGCGGGACGCTTCGTAACGTCGAGCAGGTTGGTCCGAACCCGAGCTCCCCCAGCTGTCACCAGATTTAATTACCCCAAGAAGCCACTGGAAGGGTTAGAAAAAATATATACGACATGCTTGACGGAATACCCGGCCGTTCGTAATCATCGTCAGGAAAACAGGGCCCGTTGCTGGGGCCTTTGGCTCAAAAGCCAGGGTTTGAGAAGAAACCCTCAGGTTGTCACCAAAGAGGCCTCCGTCCCTTCCCTGAGGACGTCCGGGGGGGACAGGTGTCCAGGAGGCGGCTGGACAGACAGGGCTGGGACCCAGGGGAAAGGTCTCGGGCGGAGACAGAGGTCTGCAGGCCTGTCCTCTGGATCTGTGTCCGCGCCGGTCGTAGCAACGGGCTTGGACCGGAGTCAAGGACACTCGCTCGGACTCTCGGGAAGGAACAGACCCCGCTGGCACCTGGATTTTGGGCAGCGGGCCCCTGGAACTGTGAGGCGAGGTCTCTCTGTTGTCGGAAGCCTCCCAGTTTGTGGGAATTCGTCACGGCAGCCCCAGAAAACCAGCACGGAGGCCCCGTGACACACAGAGAGGCATCGTGCCCGCCGAGTCTTGGAGGCAAAACCAGACGCCTGAGCGGGCGAGGAGAGCGGGGACCCCAATGAATGCGCCACCTGCCCAGAAGGGGCCCGGACAGAGCAGAGGAAGCCTCGCTTTGCTATGAAAACAAAGGGCATTTGGCGTTGCAGGGAGGTGTCTACCTGCTGCCAAGAATGATTTTTATTCTGTCCGGACACACGCGGGAGAACAACCAGACAACCCTTTTCCTGGTGGTGTTAATATTCTGACAAAGCGGCTTCGTTCAGAGGATGCTCTGTGTTGCTCCCCGGCCGCGAGCATCGGAAAAGCGACCACGTCGGCAGGAAAACCAGCCTCTCGTCCGGTGCCTGGGACGGTCGCCGAGCTCCGGGGCCGACCCCCACCCGCTTTAGGTCGTTAATCTGCTTCTCGGCTCTTTCTCCTTTGCCTGAATTTATCTTACTTTAAAAAATACCCCAAGGAGTTTTCTGTAGCTCCCGGGTGGAATATAAGCCAAGGGTATTTATTCGCCGATGAGAATGTGGTTATTATTTTAATACGACCCCCTCGAAGAAATGAAAGTCCAATATACCTTTGCGTCGCCCATTAGTCTGTGGGCCGTAAAGCGAGAGGAAGAATTTACAGGCCTACAAACCCCGGAGGACAGGGCTGCAAAGCTCTAATATAACCACGTCCAGTTTATTAGTTTATTAAAAGTCATGTCTTCCTGAACCCAAGCATCCACTCCCATCGTGAGGACTTTATTAAATCAAGGGGCTCGGGTAACTCACTCAGAGTATCTGCGTATTTGGGAACAAATAGGCAGTTAACTGGTTTAAAAAAAAGTACGCGGGGTTGGCAATCCTGGAGACTGGCAGAAACGAATCCGCGTTCCCGTAATAATAGGCGTGTTATCTAAGAAAAAAGTAGGAATATTTTCTTAAGGATTCATTTTGTACCGAGGGGCCATTCCATGAGGACCTCATGGAAGGCAGTGCTTGGGAGACCTTTGGGGGACTCTGGTGGTTTTTAGAACATTTCTAGGATATACCTGCTTGTTCAGTTTTAAAAAAAAAGTTATAATTGATTTTAGAGAGAGAGGGAGGGAGAGGGAGAGAGAGAAACATCAATGATGAGAGTCATTGATCGGCTGCCTCCTGCACGCCCCCGACTGGGGATCGAGCCCACAGCCCCGGGCCTGTGCCCCGACCGGGAACTGAACCCCGACCTCCGGGTTCATAGGTTGGGCTCAACCGCTGAGCCACGCCGGCCGGCTGCTTGTTCAGTTTTGCTCAGATTTAAACATGGGCATCGTTTGCCCCGTCTCTCCACCGACAGCCCTCAGTGCCATCCGTCATTTCGAGTTAAACACAGACGCTGTTTCCTGCGGCTGCCGAAGTAGACGGGTTGTTTGTTTGCGGGAGAGGCCGTGGTGCGCGTTAGGAAAAGATAAACGGCGGGTTGTTTGGGTGACGTCGAGGCAGGTGCATTGGGGCGTCTGAGGGGAGTGTCGGTGCCGGGCTGGGGCCTTGTCCGGGTTTGCCGCGGGCGGGTGGGAAACGGGCCGAAGCCGGACGAGAGGGCCGCGTGTTTCAGAGAAACAATGGTCTGTGTTTCTCCTCAGTGGGCCCTTGAGTTTCTGATCTAACCCTGATCAGTCCCCAGGGGGGGTCGGTGGCCCCGCTGTAAAAAGGGTAACTGGTCCTGGACCAACACACCTGCTTTGA